GATATTTAGTCTTTCATAGTTGAGGTCTAACTATGATGTCAATCACAGGCCTCTCTCATCTTTTTAAGTGGGAGAACTTGAACAACTGGTGCCGACTAAATATTTTCCCCACTTTAGCTAACTTAATATATAGAGCTAATATTGACAAAATCTTTGTGTGAGGGCAGAGGAAAGAATTTTTATACAGAGGCAGATTGTTAATGTTGGTGACAATAAAAGTTTAAAGTTGTCTACATTGTCTCTGAAAGTGAAGCACTGCTGAATTTACAAGTTGCTGTGCACTTTCTCCTGGTTGTTGTTGTTGTTATTATTTATGAATAATGTAGCCACATTTTTTACTTAAAATTTTGGAGACATCTTTTACCGCTCCCAGAGAACCACGGTTCACTTTCCGGGAGTGATGTGTGCAAGTGACGGGGGGTGCGGATGGGTGACAGCTGGTAACAAAACACATAAATAGCAATAAGTCAGGTTTGAATTTGAATCAGTAGCTACATTTTAAATCCAATACAAGCAAGATTGTTAACTAATAAATTGGACAACATTCTGGCTGTTGAGTGATATTTCCACAGTTGTGGTCTTGACTGGTCTTGAAATAAAATTCTGAGTCTTCAATGTCCGAGACCGAGACAAGACCAAGACCATCAAAAACTGTTCTTGAGACCGGTCTTAAGACCAAGACCGGTTTCAAGTACTGCAACACTACCTGATACATAACAGGTACCTGGTACATAACTGGTATTTACCTGGTATTTACGTGGTCATACCTGGTATTTACCTGGTATTTACGTGGTACATACCTGGTATTTACCTGGTACATAACTGGTAACATCGTCGTCATCGTCATAATCATGAATAAAACAACATATAAAATAAACATCATACATAACATAACTTGAATGTAGGTGATGAGAAATTGAGCTTAAACTGAATTTGCATGTTTAAATTTAAACAGCTGAAATGGACTTAAAAGCCTGAATTAAACATGTTTCTACTGGAAAATCTCTTATGATTTATATTTGGCAACCCAGTGGGCAGCTAGAGGAGGATTTTAAGATAAAGTGACTGAAGTTTGGATGAGATGTAAGGAAAGCTGCTGGAAAAGTCATGTAAAATATAAATGTGATTTTGTCCTGATGCTTTGAGGAAAATGTAGAAATCAAAAACCAATTCTCTTCACGTTCTCTTCTTTGAGGTTTGAAATYATGAGGTTTAACTATGAAGGGACGAGACCTGGAGCCAGACTTCAGGGGAACTGGTCCTGTTCAGGTTTCAGTTTTTGGGTTCTTGTCAGAGTTCTGGATGTTTCTGTGGCTACAGCTGGGGAAAAAACTACTATTTTATTGTACAGTTAGCAGGATATCATGGTTTGAATGAGTTGAGTGAAGGTTATATGAATTCTTACTTGAAGATATTTTAAAAGAAACAACAAATAAAAATAAACGGTTGGATTAAAAAAATGAGCTTAGCTATAAAGGTAATTCAAACTGGATGAAGCTCCTGATCAGCAGAGGACACCTTCAAATCAACCGAAACAAAAAGCCAAAAGAATAATTGGAGAACCTGAAATGCAGTGTGAACACTGAACTCTGCAAGGTTTTTACTGAAAGCTGCTGAAGAAGCTGAAAATGTTTGACAGCAAAACTGTTGAGTTAAATTTGAACAGCTGAGTTTTGCTGAAAGTAGAACAAACGTGAATAATCAGTAGAAAGAAAGCAAAAAAAGGGAATACATAATCTGAAAAGAGCAAAAGTAGCTAAAATTAGCAAAAAGAAGCTAAAAGAAAGTGAAACAAGTTCAAAATAACAGACAGGGAGTAAGAGTGAAAACTTTCAAATCAGCAAAAAATGAAAAGAAACACAAAAAACTTGCCATTTCTTTTTAAATAGCTAAAAAAACCTGCAAATAGACAAAAATAAAGAGGTAACTGAAATAACTGACTTTTATTCAAAGGAACAGAAGGAGATCATATTTGCTAAATTAGGACTAAGAAGCTGAAATTACCACAAAAAAGTGAATTTAGCTGAAAAGAGCTAAAATCAGCTAAAAACACAGAAAACAGCTGAAACAACGAAGCTTAAACCAGCAGATTAGCAGCAAAGGTCAGAATGATAGCTAAAAAAAGACCCCCCAAAAAAGCTAAAAACAATATGATAGAAGCTGAAATTAGCACAAAGAAGTTTAAAAAAGCCAAACTTGAACAAAATGTGAAACACAGTAAAGATTTATGAACATTTTAAAGGGTTTTAAGGATGCTGAAGACAGCTCCATTCATTTTTAATGGAAAAAAATCAGAAAAACTAAACATCTCAAACAGTATAAATTGCTGAAATGGCAGAATTCATAGCTGGAATGTCCTGAAGCTGAACGTTGTGATATAATTAACTGTTGAAATAACAAAAATTTCAGAACAAGATAGGTGCCAAAACTTACAGAAGAAAAACTGATCTCAGTTGTTTTAAAATAAACATTATGACAATAAATCTGAGACAAACCGTTTTTCTATATAAAGTGTGCTGAATTCACAAAAAGAAGAAAACATAGATGTAATAAACTAACAGATCTCTTCTGGTACAARCACCTGGTTTGGACCAGTAGTTCTGATAAAACCAAAGCCCGGTCAGTTGGTATTTTATCAGACTTCCTGCTCCCTCTGACTGATCTCGTTTGTTCAGATAAAATCAGCAGCACCAACCCTCGCGTGATTGAAGACCAGCGAGCCCGGCAGCTGTGCATCGATGTGCGCCACTCCCTGTTCTATGAAACCTGCGCCACCTACGGCTTCAACGTGGACAGAGTCTTTTCAGAAGGTGAGTGGACCGACTCTGTCCCTGACGTCACATTTAACTAAAGAAGAGGAGATATTAACCTGTTGAATTAAAAAAAAATAAAAATAAAAACAAACACTGTGACTTTTTATCAGTAGGTTGAGTGAAAGGTTTGTTGTGTTTCTCAGCTGCCCAGAAAATTGTAGCTCAGAAGAAGCAGGCAGCTCTGCAGGCCTGTAAGTCCCTGCCCAACTCTCCCAGTCACTCCGGAGGCTCCACACCTGGATCTGCATCGTACCCTGGACAGGTACCTCTCACTGTGTTCACACTGCAGGTCCCTCATCCTGCCTCAGCCATGTCACAATCTGATTAAATGAGACGTGACCATTCAGACTGTCACTCTGAAAACTAAAAGTTTAAAAATATATTACACGGACGGAGCCATTTTATTTACACGCAAAGCATTCTGGGTAAATGATGACGTGGATAGGTCATCGGTGCGAGGCTGCTAGCGAGCTATATCCACCCTGAAGCTTAATCTTGGACAATATCTGACGATCGACTCTTAAATGAAACCAGGGAGCGTTGACAGAGAGGAGAAGGTAGAAATGACTCAGCCTGGAACTGAAAATATGGATGGAGGACAACAGAGCTGCTTCATGGAAGACCTTTATTTGAGGAAGTCTTTATTTATCTTACAGTTAAAATGAACGTTTATCAAATAAAGTCTAATGTTACAACTAATTGTGGATCCACTTAATGTTTTTTTCTTTATTAGTGTGAAAATAATCTGCAGGCTTAAAATTTAAGACTTTTTCTTACAGAAAAAGAAAACAGATTCCCAGAAAATTTTTATTTTCACTCTTCATCCAGTTTGATCAATAATTCATTCTGTTGCTCATTTGTTCTAAATCAACTCATCGTCCACCTTTCATCTCCATTCTCACCTCCCTCCCTCTTATCTTCACCCTCTGACACCCCGCACCCCCCTTTCCTCCTCGCCGGTCCTCTCAGGCCATTAATGGCCCCGGCAGCGGCTTCGTGTCCCTCCCCTCCACCCCTGTGGTGGGTCACAGAGAGCTGCGGGTGGCTCAGGTGGAGGGGGGCGGCAGCACCAACTCACGCCTGCAGAAAGGTATTCCCAGGAGACCCTCCCTCTTTAAGGTCAGTCACTGCAGGTGTCTCTTGTTCCTGACATTTTCCATCCATCCATCCATCCATCCATCCATCCATTCATCCATCCATCCATCCATCCATCCATCCATCCATCTATCCATCCCTCTGAAACCACCTCTCCTAACTAACCCTCTGATGGATCCATTTCAGAACCGGGACCCAGATAAAAAAACTGGTGACTCTAAAGCCGACCTGAGCAGCACACGAGGTGTTCCAATAAAACAGGTTGGTACAGAAGAGTCGGTTCTCTGGTTCAGTGTTGAAGCTAAAACTAGCTAAAGATGAAACTGACAAAACCAAACAGAAATAATGCATTTACCAGATACATGCAAAAGACTAGCTAAAGGTGAAACTTACCAAAACAGTGGCTGAAAGCTAAAAATATGAAACCATAATGAAACCATTGCCACACAATAAAAACAAAAGACTAGCTAAAAGCTAAAGTTAGCGGAACAATAGCTAAAAGCTAAACTGTAGCTGAAAATAACAAACCGGTAGCTTCAAACTAAAATTGGCAAAACAATAGCTAATTCAATCTGGAAAGACACACAGACATGGAAGCAGTTAAAGAGTTTAATTGACATGAATGAATGAATGAATGAATGAATGAATGAATGAATGAATGAATGAATGAATGAATGAATGAATGAATGAATGAATGAATGAATGAAGAGCATGGTGCTCTGGTTTTGGCGCTCAGGCCCCGGCAGGAGACATGAGCGCTGTGAGATGCTGAGAACTGGTGATCAATCGGGTGGCTGTGGTAGAGTGGTTAGGGGAGTCGTCCTGGAACYGGAAGGTTGCMGGTTCGATCCTCGTCCAGTCGACTCAGTCRTTKTGTCCTTGGGCAAGACACCTTACCCACCTTGCCTACTGATGGTGGTCAGAGGGTCCGGTGGCACCTGTGTATGGCAGCCTCGCCTCTGTCAGTTAGTCCCAGGGCAGCTGTGGCTACAGTGTAGTTTGCCATCATCAGTGTGTGAATGTGTGTGTGTGCATGGGTGAATGTCTGCAGTGTGAAGCGCCTTGAGTGTCCTGGATGGATAGAAAGGCRCTGTATAAGTACAGTMCATTTACCATCAGCTCAGAGATAGAGTAAATGTCCCCCAGGGACCCGGACACTGGTGGTGGCAAGAAGGCCGAAGGGGAGAGATGGCTGGACCTTGGCTGAGGGAGGAGGTGGGGTAGAGGTGGGTCAAAACTCGTCTGGTGRGCAGCGAACCCTTAGCTGCGGGGCCTTTTAGCGATGAGCTC